TGCACGAGAGAATTCTAAAGATTCATTAAAGTTGTAGGGAACAAAAAGTTTGCTTGCGAATCGATGTTAGTATGCGCATCGAAGCATGGAAATAATTTCATAAGAAATTTCATTACTCGAAGATTTCATTACTGAATAAATATCGTCACAAAAGAGTTCACAATAGGAAGAGAGAAATTTCAAAAAAAATTCCGAGATCAATCACTAGCGATCAGAAACGAGGCACTACTGAATAATTCATCGCGCATTACGAAATAAGCTCAATGAAGCATGCTTTCTTCAATCCCAATTAACATCTCATTGAATAAAGCAGAAGAAAGTCTAAAAAATTTCGTTTAAATTCCAATTTGGTTACGTGCTCTGGAGATTTCTATGGCTAGTGCCACAGAAATATTTAGAGAACATTATCGATCCGTGGCACTTGAAAATTCGACGAAATGATGTTTACGACATTGTCAAAAGTGGAAAAGAAAAAGAATTTACTTAATTAAGTATTCTTGATGAGACGAAAAATTTCGTTATGTTTCACCCAATTTCTTTCAAAGTGCATTCCATTGAGAAGCCATTAATTTCATCATTTCCATTCGTTTTTCCTTCTCTGATAGCGAAGGCAGCAACCGGACATGGTAAATGAAGCAACTAAGTTGTGCCGTGTTCAAATCGTCGTTTCATGAGGAAAATTGAGCAGGAAATTTTCGGAAGACACTTCATTCGAGAAGTATTTATTTAATCAGCAAAACAAACTCATTCCGAGTTTATGCTTTCCTATTATCACCAATATCACTACTATCACATTCTTCCTTCCTTCTTTCCACACAGCTAACGATAACAGCATTTGGAATCATCTGTCTTCATGAAATTTGAACTTGGATTATTGATCTGGCAAGCACGGAGGTTTTGGGCTACTCTCCCATATTGCCCAATGATTTCTAGAGAGATGGTTTCTGAGAATTGCATCGGCAAAATCGATTAATTTCACTTTAGTGGTGGGTATGTCAACGATAGCAGATGCCGAATGGTTTCACGGGCACTTGTCGAGGACGAAGGCCTGCGAACTGCTTCAGGATAACGGCGACTTTTTGGTACGCATAGCACAATCGAAGGCTGATCGTGTAAGCAGTTGATTGCATATTGCTTTCATCCGAAAAGTGATTTTCATTGTAGCACTCAAATTGTCCACACTGATCCAGATAAACTAGAAGTCAATCGATCAGGAATGATTCAGTCTGTTTGATCTATGAGAGCGAATATGCAATGATCAACAAGAAAAGCTCTCAAATTTACAGACTCTCAAAGCGGTTTTATCAGTTAAGTGGATGGGACGTCATTACCACTTCGAGATCCGCGAGCGGAATGGCTTATTCTATGTTGAAGGATATCGTTTCTATAGCATGGTTGATCTGATTAGCCATTACCTCAACGAACAGGTTTGCGGTTTGTTCAAAACATATAGGGTGTTTTTGAGCGCTTCATACATTACAATAATTTTTAGCGAGATGCATTCATGTGTTATAGAATGCAAAGTATGATAGATTTAAACACATTCAAATGATATTCTGCAATGACATTCTGTAAGAGACGAAGAATATTCTGCCCATGCGTGATTAGAGGAGACCGACATCCTCGCGTGTCTTCAGTGTGCTGCTTCGAACTGTGAATCCCAAAAGGCATCGAAAGAAGCAATTGAAGTTCAAAATAGTCAATTAGTGATGCGTCGGGAGGCGTAATTCTCAACGAAAAGTTGAATCTTCAACTCTGGACTGGAGAAACAGAATTAAGACAATCTACTGAACCCTACTGACAATCTACCCTGATCCACTGACAACCTACAATCTACTGAATCTACTAAAATAAAGAGACCAATGGTAATGTGAGTTGTAGAGTAGGGCCCATGATTTCTTTAATATCTTCAGTTGAAAGCCAAATTATGCTAGACTCAATCATCATTGAATAATCCATTTAGCGATTACAGTGCCCTCTCACGAAG